TTCATCTGTGAAATGGGCACATTCATGGCCTATGCTGAATGCAGCAGTGTCTTGGAACTACAAAGTCCGGTGGCCGTGTGAATGTCCTATCTCAAATAGAATCTTTGTTTTGTTTTATTTTGTTTTGTTTTCCTGCCATCCCGATCCGAGGACCAGAAATGTTCTCATTGGTCACATGAACGGAATTCTTTTTCTTTTTTTTAAAGATGATATTTATTTGACAGAGAGACAGAGAGAAAGAGAGAACAAGCGGAGGGAGTGGCAGGAAGAGGGAGAGGGAGAAGCAGACCACCTGTGGAGCAAAGCCCTAGGTGGGGCTCGATCCCAGAACTCTAGGATCGTGACCTGAGCCGAAGGGAGATGCTTAACCAACTGAGCCACCCAGGTGCCCCAGGAGCTGAATTGTTAATGTTCACGTGGTTCAAAAGCTATAAAACCCTCTGAGACATGAGAATCTGCACAAAGGAAAGGGACCAGCTCCTCCCCGGGCGAAATCCACACCATGGGCTGCCCCCAAGCCTTTTTTTCCCACCACGCCCTCCACCCGGGAGGCTGTCCTACCCCCCGCCAGTACCCCCCTTCCCTGGCCAAGGCATTCACTTCTCAGCTATGCCCTGAGCACCTACGGTGTGTCAGACACTGTGCAAAGTCCTAGGGACACAGCAGGGAACAAGGAGCTTCCATGGTGGAGGGCAAAGGAAGACAATAAAGAAGGAAGGAAACCAGTTCACAGGTAATTCAATGTAGTGGTAAGTGCTCTGAAATTGATTGAGGGCTGGGCACTGTTAACAGGGGGTAGATGGGGTGGTCAAGAAAGTCCTCTCTGAGGAGCTGATGTGTGAACTGAGGCCCAATTTATAGGACAGAACCGGATGTGAGAAGATATGGGGAACAGTATCCAAGGCCGAGGCAACAATCAGTACAAAGGTCCTGAGGTGGGAGCTGTTCTCAGAACAGAGAGGAGGCCAGTGTGCCTGGAGTTGAGGCGGGAGGGCAGCACTATAAGGTTAAGTGAGGAAGGCGGGCAGGGTGAGAGGATGTAGGTCTTGTGGGCCTCGGGAAGCAGGTGAGAGAGATCTTACTTCAAAAGCCAAGAGAGGCCATGGAGGGGCATCAGGAGAGGCTCGGGCTCTGAGTCATGGCTGTTGTGGGGGAATGGGGACAGCTGGGAGTGGGGGCGGTGGGGAGCTTCTGCCCTGGCCTGGCTGGGAGCTGGGGAGACCCCAAGGGGCGGGCAGCGCGGGTGGGGGTGTGGAGAAGTGGTCAGGGTCGGGAGAGGTGTCAGCAGAGTCGCTGACAGGGCTCAACGACGGGCTGTGCATGAGACGGGTAGGGCGCGGCCAGGACAAGTCCAGGGGTTGGCACCTGCAATGGTGGCCATCAACCACTGTGGGAAGGGCTCCAGGGAGCAGGTTAGGGGGCTCAGGGTCGACTGCCCTGGGTCAGAGGTGCCATTGGCCTTCCCTCTGGAGATGCCAAGGAGGCTGTGGGCTCCCGGGGTCTGGGTCTTGGAGGCCAGGTCATCCACCAAGAGATGGAGGTGAAGCCACCAGCCACGTCCCTCCTCCAGCTGGGAGCAATGGGGTACTGTGTCCCCAGAGATCCCTGGTCTGACAGGGAGGATGCTTTGTTCCAGAGCCATATGTCCATTGGGGGCCATTTGTCCAGAGTGGGGGCACCTGCCACCTAGACTTCCTCCAATATCAGAGTTCGGATTTATTGATCCACAGGGGCTCTGGTGGGCTGGGATCTGCCTGCAGGCCCTGCTGTGACAGGGTCCGGCCTACAGGGGGTGCATGAGAAACACTCGCTGGAAGAGTGAGTGGGATGGCTCTAGGAGGAACCCCTCACCGGACCCCAGCCCAGCCCAGCCCAGCCCAGCCCAGCCAGGTAAAGGGGGGCCAGCAGACCCACACGCTGAAGCCTGGCCAGGGAGAAGAGGGGACACAGCATGACATCCCAGTCATGTTTTTACTGTTATACAGAAAGAGGGCTTCACAGGAGTGGGGTGGCTAAAGCATCTCGGGGACAAAATTTAAAGGGGCGTCAAGAAACTCAGGCATCAAGATAAAGAATATTTTAAGACAAGATGTTAAAAAAAATCAAATCAGGAGCACCTGAGTGGCTCAGTGAGTTAAGCCTCTGCCTTCAGCTCAGGTCATGATCTCAAGGTCCTGAGATCAAGCCCCACAACCGGCTCTCTGCTCAGCGGGGAGCCTGCTTCCCCCTCTCTCTGCCTGCCTCTCTGCTATCAAATAAATCAATAAAATCTTTTAAAAAAATCAGTTTTTTATGCAAAATGCATAAAATGCAAAAGCCGATTACATTCATAAGTTAACAATAATCTATCGAGATCAATCCATTAACGAAACAGCGGTAGGTAGGGTGCTCATTGTGTATGATGTTACCCACTGGGACGGATGGGTCCAAATCCCCTTGTGCTGTATCTCCTTAATTTTTCTTCAAATCTAAAACTGTTCTGAAAATTAAAATCTATTTAAAAGTTAATGCAAGGGGTGCCTGGGTGGCTCAGTAGGTTAAGCCTCTGCCTTTGGCTCAGGTCATGATCCCTGGGTCCTGGGATCGAGCCCTGCACCAGGCTCCCTGCTCAGCAAGGAGCCTGCTTTTCCCTCTCCTCCCCACTCATGCCCTCTCTCTGTCCAATAAATAAAATCTTAAAAAAAAAAAAAAAAAAAAGAAAAGAAAAGAAAATGGGACTAGCTCATGGCTCACGTCCCAAAACCAACCACTGCTAGTTTTTCAGATCATTTCTTTCTAGAAAGTTCTTTTTTGGGGGTGGGGGTACAAATCCTGTGCACGATGGGCAATTTTCCTTCCACAAAATTCATCCCTCCACAAAATGAATACCTATTGATTATCTGTGTAGAGTTGACCCCCCATGTGGATACGTTTGCATTCTGCTTTTTGCCATTGCATCATGAGATTTTTTATGCCATTAAATGCCCTCCCCAAATAGCATTTTCAGGGCTGTACGATATTTGATACCATCCCTAGGTGGGCAGTCTAGGTTGATTTCACACTGCAAACTTGCACCCAATTCCCTACCCCTTGCCTGCTTCATTCTTCCCCGTGCACTGTCTCTGTCTGACAAATTCTGTATGTTACTTATTAATCTGGTTTGTGGCCCTCGTCTGCCACCAAAATCTCAGCTTCCTGAGCAGTAACTGTGCCCGTTTTCTCCTTGCTGAGTCGCCACTACCTAGCAGAGGTCCACGGACACACTGAGTTCTCCCTGAGTCCCCGTGAGAGAACACACATACATCTCTGACCATATCTCAGTTTCCCAGAGGCAGAATTTCTGGGTCATAGGGCATGGAGAGTCTTAGCTTTTTATATGTTCCCCAAGTTCCCTGCAGAATGACTGTGTCACTTTACGTGTCCACCACTCCCCTGTAAAAGTGCACATTTTCCCACACCCTCAATAACCTGGGAGATTCTTTTTAAAATAAAATTTTGCTGATCTGGCAAATGGAAAACAATTACTTGCTTTAAGTCGCATGGTTTTTGTTATTGGTGAAATTGGGCACTTACTTGCTTACATTGCTTCTTTGGCAATTTCCCCGTTCATATCTTTGCCCACTTTTCTAGTACACTGTTTGTGATTTTCTTATTGATTTATAAGAGCTCTTTACATATTAAGGACATTAATATTTTGTCATGACTTTTTTTCTTAGTTTAGCCATCTTCATTTCTTACCTAGTAGACTGCAAGTGTCCCTCTCTGCTTCCATTCCTGTCAATCTGTTATCTTTTGGAAATGTAAATCTGATCACATTTTTTCCTCCAGTAAAAACTTTCAGTGAGTATACCTCAAATTTGGAATGAAATACAAATCTTTCACAGGCCCTGATGCCTGCCTGCCTCCCAACATCATCCTTACCCTCTTGTTCTCACTCACTGCTCTTTAGCCACAGAACTTTCAACTCTTCAAACACACTAATATGGTCCTACCACAGGGCCTTTGCACCAGCTGTTTTCCACCCCGCACCTGGTGCTCTCTTCCCCCGGCTCTTTGCATGGCTGATTCCTGCTCATCCTTCAGGGCTCGGCTAAGGTGTTATCTCTCTCTCTCTCTCTTTTTAAAGTAAGCTCTATGCCCAGTGTAGGGCTCGAATTCATGACCCTGAGATCAAGAGTCTCATGCTCCATTGACTGAGCCAGCCAGGGGCTCCTACATCTTAACTCTTTCAAAAGACTGTCCTGACCACCCCATCTGAACCTGTCCCCCTGCCCCCTCCCACTCACCGTCACTCTCATCCCATCTCCCTGTGTGATTTCTTCAGTCCATTCATCACTGCCCTACATCACTTACTCTCTGGAATGTCAGCTCCCAGAGGGCAGAGACTTTACTTGGTTCCTTGTTATAGCCTCAGTGCTCAGAACAACACCTGGCACAGGGTACGTGCTCAATAGCTTGACAAATGTTTGCGGAGGGAAGGAAGAAAAAGGCAGGTCTTGGGGCGCCTGGGTGGCTCAGTGGGTTAAGCCTCTGCCTTTGGCTTGGGTCATGATCTCAGGGTCCTGGGATCGAGCCCTGCATCGGGCTCTCTGCTCAGCGGGGAGCCTGCTTCCCTTCCTCTCTCTCTGCCTGCCTCTCTGCCTACTTGTGATCTCTGTCAAGTGAATAAATAAAATCTAAAAAAAAAAAAAAAAAGGCAGGTCTTCCCACCGCCTGGCATTCCTCCAACATTCTTTGAGCCTAAAGGGTCCCCTCCCTAACCCTCCCCGGTCTCTGCAGACACGAGATGCAAATCCCACTGCGAGGGATGCTCCCATTTCAGCTAACACATTAATGATTCTGCCCTTTCTTCTCTTCTGCAACATTCCCCACATTTGTTTGCTTTATTTAAGATTTTATTTATTTATTTGTCAGAGAAAGAGATTGGGGGGGGAGGGGCAGGTAGAGAGGGGGAAGCAGTCTTCCTGCTGAGCAAGGAGCCCAGTGCGGGGCTCGATCCCAGGACCCTGGGATCATTACCTGAGCCAAAGGCAGATGTTCAACCAACTGAGCTACCCAGGCATCCCCATTTCCCATGTTTTATTAGAAGCCTACTGTGGGCCAGGCCCTGCTTTACGTCCAGGTGTTCCGGTGTGCTCCAGGCCTCGTGAGCTCACTCCTTCCTTAGCGAGCTCCTCTGTTAGAAGCAAACATGCTGGGAGTTGCCTAATGCTTTACCAAAAGTTAGTGGGAAACATGACTCATCTTGCGGGGGGGGGCATGGGTGCAGGAATCTGGGAGGGAAGTGGAGATGTCGTATTCTTTACACAGTTGCCTTGGGGGACCCCTACTGATCCCCCCAAGCCTCCCACTGAGCGGTCACTCTGATCCCCAGCTGGAGCTCGACCCCTACCCCTTTCCTATTTCTTCATTGTCCCACTCCCCACCGAGCCCCAAATCTGAGTCTGAAAACTGCTCTCAGAGTAGTCAGTGAGGTCTCTGAACTAGACCCAGCTCTCACAGGATGTCTCCTGTCCTGACCAAGGTAGTGCTGGTGCTAAGGCTACCCATGTCCCCTGCAGGCCACATGTCCCCAGGAGGCCCAGCCAGCCACTCACATGGACATAGGTGCTGGCATCCTGGCAGAGAGAGGAAGGGGATTCCATAAGTGGACATGGTTCCCCCTGTGGAGCATCACATTCCTGAACCCCTACCCAGGCTGTTCAGTCTCACGGGGACAGAACAAAGGTTCCAGAATCAACTGGTGGTATGACTTTCTTTGCTCTTTCCTTCACGCTGCTGGGAAGCTCCTTCTCTGCCTTTTTATCTCCCCCCCACCCCCTAGAGTGCGTACACTTCATCCTGAAAGCTTTTTTTTTTTTTAAAGATTTCATTTATTTACTTGACAGACAGAGGTCACAAGTAGGGAGAGAGGCAGGCAGAGAGAGAGAGGGGAAGCAGGCTCCCCGTGGAGCAGAGAGCCCGATGTGGGGCTTGATCCCAGGACCCTGGGATTGTGACCTGAGCTGAAGGCAGAGGCTTTAACCCACTGAGCCACCCAGACGCCCCCATCCTGAAAGCTTTTCTATCCCTCCCTCCCTCCCTCTTTGCAACTGTCTTTTCAAACTCTTCCCAGGAAAACTGGGAGGCCTGGGGTTGAACAGACTCCTGCCAGGCACCATGCTAAGGTCTCCTTGAATCCTCACAACACGCCCCCGCCCGTGAAGGACGGGTCATAGTTATCTCCCCATTTCCGAGATGGGGTCACTGAGGCTCAGCGGGAGGAGGTAGCTTGTCCAGAATCACACAGCCAGTACCTGGAGAGGCCGGACTCTGTCTGGGGTGTCTGGGGTGGGGGGGTGTCCCGGGCCCCTGATTCTTAACACCCTCCCAGCTCAGCCCAGCCCAGCCCAGTCCCCCTACCTTGAGCGTGTCCCCTTTGTTGAAGGCGAGCTCATCACTCTCCGTGGCCTGGAAACTGTACAGGGCCACAGACTCCATCCCGCTGTCCCCAGGCCCCAGCAGCTGGGCTCCGAGCGGGGTCGGCTCTTCCTGCTTCCTCTGCAGTCGAGGACCCAAGGACCCGTCTTCCTTTGTTTTGAGAGCGTGCTGGGCTTTTGAAGCTGCCCCTGAGGGAGGGGAAACAGGAAGCTGACATGTCACGGAGCACGGCGGCGAGCCTGTGAGCGGCTAGGCCTCTACCTCGGACCCCCAAAGGCCAGGTATGACTCTTGGGGAGTCCCCAGGGAGCCCCGGGAGTGGGTCCCCTCTTCCACCCATGTCACAGATGAGATAAGGAGGTTTGCAGAGAACGAGAGCCTTCCTGGCAGCTCAGGCAATATGTCTCATGGGCCCAGCCACCCCCACCGGCTTGCCCTCCACGTTTTCTGAACTCTGATGCCTCTCAGGACTCCCCAGGGCCTGCCTCCCCGACCCCAGCTCTTTGCCTGACATTCAAGGCTCTCCCAAGCCACCACCCCCACCCACCAGCCCTCCTCTCCAGATCCAACCTTTGTTATCCCCTCGCCCTGTGAACACACACTGGGCTCCACCCTGCTCTTTCATGCCCCTTTCCTCTGCACATATGTGACCTTCCCCTTTCTCTTCCCAGGAGACTCCTGTGCATCCCTCAAAGCCCAATTCAAAAGGTGCCTCTTTTGGTTTAAACACTGGACGTCCTCCGTGCGATTGAGATCCTAAGGTCAAAAAGAACTGCCAATAAATCTTGACCTCTCGTTAGTAGGTTTGTCACGGGACGTGGTATCAGGGTAACAATTCTGCAACAACTGTGTATTACGGGAAAGAGCATCAGTGGATAAATGCGGTGGCGTTGCTCCAAACCCTGGTTCTTTCTGGGAAAGAAAGGAGACACAAACCGGGAAAGGCAAAGCAAGGAAGAGCCCCGTGGCGTTGGATGGGAACTGGATGGCTCAATTGGAAAAAAAGCATGCTTTTTTTTTTTTTTTTTTCTGTAAAGGAGTTTTTCCTCCTTTGTTTATATCAATGTGGTTACATTTGGCCTTCCTATTTTCGTCAATGGGTTCGAATCCATTACTACGATGATTGATGTGGGATGCTCAAACCGTCCCGGATTTGGCCCATGGGACCCCTTTCAAGCTGCCTCCTTGTCCTTCTGCCAAGTGCCCGTCATTCTCTGAGCACTTCCCTTCGACCAGTATGTTCCAGGCCTGTCGAAGCCTTCTGCGTCAGCCTGGAATCAGCTGCCTCGGAGAGGATCCTAACACCAGGATCGAGCTGGTGTTAGCTGAGAGTGTTAGTGCTTCTAGACACACTAGAGGGAAATGCAGAGCTAGGGAGGAGAAACACACACGCACACATGCACACACATACACACGCACACACATACACACTCATGTATAAATACACTCCTATATGAACTCATTACATACGTTGATATGAAAGAGAGAGCTCATTCTAGATGAGTCTCAAGAAATATATTTCCTTGTGGACAGAGTATGTCCATATTTCTACGTTCATGTCTCTGTGTGTCTGTCTAGTTCCAGATAATAGATTAAAAACCGTGAACTCAAGCAGATATGAACTGGTGAGCGCGGGGGAGGGTCGAAGCCTGTCCTTTGCCCTCCCTACAGCTTTGCGGAAGGCTGGAAATTTTCTATGTAGAAAGTGGATAGGCTCTATGTGAACTATGTGAGCGAACTATAGTTAGCTCAAAATAAAAGGTTTATGTAAAAAAAACAAAAACAAAAACAAAAAACAAGGGGCACCTGGGTGGCTCAGTCGTTAAGGGTCCGCCTTTGGCTCAGATCGTGATTCCCCGGGTCCTGGGATCGAGCTCCGCATGGGGCTCCCTGATCAGTGGGAAGCCTGCTTCTCCCTCTCCCACTCCCCCTGCTTGTGTTCCCTCTCTCGCTGTGTCTCTGGCTGTCAAATAAATAAATAAAATCTTTAAAAACGAAACAAAACAAAACAAACAAAAGTCATGGGGCAAAAAGAGGAACACAGCAAACGCCGTGACCCGCCCCAGAGCCCCTAGGGCTTGGCCAGCTCCCCACAGCCCCTTGCCAGTCTCCACTCCAGGCCCCTCCCTGTCTTCCGCCCAGACCCCAGTGTGACAGGATGTTACAAGGCTCTTTCCGGCTCAGTTTCAGCTGAGGTTTCAAAGCCTCAGAATGGGGCAGCTGGGGGTTGGGGGGCACCCCCTCCCCAAGCCTGAGATGCCTAGAGGCAGGCGTGGGCAGCATTCTTCTTAGGAAGCGGAGCATGTGTCCCCTGGGGCTTGGGGGGCCAGCAGGCTGGCTTATTTGGTATTTTTCAGAGTCTTTATTCTGTGCCAAGTCACACACACAAAAAGGTGAGTGGCTCTCCAAAGGGCCCACGGATAGTATGTGGCCGGGCTGAGGGCGGGGAGTCAAGCCTGGGCAGACCTGAGCCAGGTGGGGCCATGACCCCAGTGCTGCCCATGACCTTGGCCTGGAGCCTGAGCAGCACACAGAGTGAGCAAAGAGAGCCAGGCTGGGGGTAAGGCACAGATTCAGGAGTTCAAATGGACCCAGTTCCCAGAGACCACACAGGACCCCCAAATGGGACTTGACTGAGAGGACCTTTGGGGACATCAGGCACCCCAGCTGACGGTAGCTAGTGAGGCCTAGAATGGGGGTGGGGCATCAGATTCGGCAGCTGGAACAGCATCAAGCCTCTGGTGGGAATTATAGCTGGGGTCCCCAGGGAAATCCCTCAAAGGCCACCCACAGGAGGAGAAAAATCAGCACTGGTCACTAGCCACGCCCAGCCACAGCAGAACCAGCCACATGTGACTCTCTGTCCTAAGAGAGGCCCTAATTCCCTGTGGCCAGCCGATTCGTGGTACCAGGACATCCAGGGCCTTATCCCTGGACACTGTGAAGGTTCCCTCATCTGGCAAAGGGACCTCGCAGATGTGGCTAAGGTAAGGACCTTGAGATGGGGAGACGACCCTGGATTGTTCAGGGGGCGCCCTCAGTGTGACCTCGAGTGTCCTCTGAGAGGGAGACAGACGGAGATCCGACGCAGAAGCAGCAGGCATGTGACCGAAGCCCGATGCTTGGACTCCTGCCTTCGAAGAGGGAGGAAGGCGCCGCGAGCCAAGGGATACGAGGGGAGCGGCTCTGGAAGCTAAGAGAGGCCACCACGGATTCTCCCCGGGAGGTTCCAGAAGGAACCAGGGTGCCCACGCCTTGACAGTGAGACTGATTTGGGACTTCTGGCTTCCACAACTGCAGAGAATAATCTCACATTGTCAAAGCCACTGAATTGTAATGACGTGGTACAGAAGCCACAGGAGACAGATAGACCCACCTCCCTCGGGGCTGGCCTACGGGGAGGACAGTCAGAAATTGCAGCTTGAGACCGGGAACGGAGGACAGAGAATTAATCGCTCCAGGTCCAGAGCCGGGGTCGGGGCTCAGGGAACTGCAGTTTTCAATGCAAGCTGGAGTTCTGTCGTCATTAGACGGGACCATACCCTTGACACTGCAAGGAGGCAGGACGGAGGCATGAGAGACATCTGAGGGACCTCTCCGAGTTTTGGTTCTGGGCAGGGAGGGAAGCATCTGTCAGGGAAAGTTTAACAAGAGATGGGAGAGAAAGGATCAAATTGTTTTCTGAAGCCCGTTCACTCAAGAACCTTCGAGGCACTCCACGAAGAAAGATCGTGGAGTGCCTCACTAGTACAGTCAGTAAAGTGTCCGGATCTTAGTTTCCGCTTACATCCTGATCTCAGGGTCCTGAGATCGAGTCCCGTCTCAGGTTCTCTGCTCAGCGCGGAGCCTGCTTCCCCGGCCCCTCTCGCTCTGCCTGCCTCTCTGCCTCTGTGATCCCCCTCTCTCTGTCAAATAAATAAACAAAAAAACTTAAAAAAAAAAGAACACTTATGAAACTTTTGTTTAAAAAAAATAATAAATAAGGTGAGAGTCTGTGGTAGTTGAACCAAGACCACTCCCTCCCTTTACCCTCCTTCTGGTTCACTGAGGTAAAGACTCCGCTCCAGACCACCGTGGCCCAGGACAGAGGGCCTTTGCTCTCCGGATCAACAATACAGGGCCCCCCTCTCCCCCAAGACCGACAACACAGGGCCTCCCTTCCCCCAGACCAACAACACAGAGCCCAGGCAGAACAGAAGGGAGAGGCTGTCCACAAGGAGGCAGTTGTGAGGGAGGGCTGGAGTTAAGGGGGAAGGTGAGGAGGTATAGAAACATATGGAATTTTCCTTTTTTGGTACCTGTGTCCAGGTGTAAGGAGCCCATTGGTCAGCCTGGGCTTATGGCTGTTTTGAGGCTGGTCCCCTAACAGACCTGCTCGCATCCAGCCTGGTGGTCATTATGGGCCCTCCCACCTCACTCAGGTTCCCAGTGCTCAAGCCTGTGGCCTAAAAGTGGTCTCTGCATTCCCCCCAGACAGATCGACAAGGACAGGTCTTTGGCATTTGGGTGGCCGTCTGCAGTAGCTGCTTCCTGCTGAACAGTGCGGGGCAGGGGCGAGGCGTCCCTCCCTAAACTTGCAGGCCGGTCAGGGGTTCTGTGCAATCATGGACTAGTGCATGGTAGCCGCTTAACGCACCGATAGGCGATTTGAGTGACATCCCTTGGCTGCCAGGGCCATGAGATTTAGGGGGAGGGGCCCCTCTGATGGGATGGGATGGGCTGGAATACTGTCACACCAATATCCGTACATGGAACTGTTGGATTCTAGAAGAGACGAATTTAACCAAGAGATTAAAGACAGGGGAACCAATAATCAGGAATACGAATATGGAGGCCAAGGCTCCTAAGAAGGGAAGGAGTCAGGTGAGCCAGGATTCCTTCCAGGAAAACTATCCTTGTGTTGCACGGTCCTGGAGGGAGTCCTGTTGAATCCAAGTATGGACATTTTCTTGTATTTGCCCTCATTGATCCAAAGATGAAGGATAGTTGGAAGGCAGGCAGGGAAAAGGGGTCTCCACCCAAAGAAGAAGCCACCCTTAAAGGGATTAAGGGATTAATCCACTGTAGAAAGAGCCCTCCACCCTTTCCCAAAGGATAGAGAGGTGACAAAAATCTGATTGGATGGCAGGCCGGGAGAGGGGGAGAGGGGGGCTAATCAGATTAGAACAGCCCACCAACAAGCTCAGAAAAATCCCTAGACTTAGAAATTCCGGTAGTGACTCCTTCGGGTCCCTTCCCTCCTTGCTAGCTTTGGACTATCACTTTGCTATCACTCTATAAACCTTGCTTTGCAGCGCATCAGCAGAACATCTGTCTGGTCTACCAAGAACCACAGGCACCAATGGAGAAAATTCTTGAAACACTTTAGCACGGCACAGATGCCCCCTGGGTCTGTAGCTAGGAGACCTAAACCATGTCGGCTTGGTTCAGGGGTGGCTAATTTGTATAGTTAGGACAGATTTAACTATTATTTCTAGGCCTTTGCAACCTCTAGAGAGAGATTATGATAGACCCTAGATGAGTTTACAACACCTCCCACCCCAGTGCTGATTCCTGCAGTTACCTCTAGGCCACTGAGAAAGGGGACTATGTGAATAGCATACTTCATTTGGGGTGAGGTGTGTCCAATTAAGGAAGGGGGCCATTAGAATGGCCCTTGGGGCTATAAGAATATCTGGGAGGAAAAACAAATAATAAAAATATTAAAAAATAAAAATATCCTGGAGGGACACCTGGGAGGCACAGTCAGTTAAGCGTGTTGATTTTAGCTCAGGTCATGATCTCGGGGTCATGAGACTGAACCCCTGCATCAGGCTCTGCACTGGGTATGGAATCTGCTGAGGATTCTCTTTCCTCTCCTCTGCCAGGCCACACCCCCACTACTGCTCTCTTTCACTCAAAAAAAAAAAAAAATCTGGAGAGAGCTTTACAATAGTGCAAGTTCCAGTCCAATCAGCAGGGAGACAGATACAGACAGCATTTCTACAGAGGAAGAAGTATCCTGAAG